ATCTGGCAACCTACAAAATACTAGTTTCCGGTTCTGGGAACCTAAAGGAGGTGAGAAATTAGTAGGTTGTTATGTAAAAATGCATAGCTACCCAGTGAATCCCAAAATGTATTATTAGTACTATATGAGTATTGAAACTTCATTCGCTTGCGAAACATGCTTCAGCTATTGTAGAAACTACAAACTTATTTGACCAGATGCAGGACACCGAGAGCTTCAAAACAAGCCCATGTATGAAGTATTCAAATCACAGGAACCCGAAATAGCCTAAGTTTTTTCTCTTACACTTCTTACGTTTATTCGAGAGATATAAAAAAAAATTTTTTAAAAATTTGGCAAAAATATTTTGTTATGCTTTTAATTATTTGGTCGTGGGTGAAAACCTTTATTAAACATAAGATAAACTTCACAAAGACGACTTGTGGACTCAAAGAAGCTATCTAGGAGAATAATGCACCCAAGTTCGATAATTTCGCTACAGTCAACTCAAATTATGGAAGTTGGACATTTCCCTTGAAGAAAATGAGAATTAATAGTCACCAATACAAAATTAGCGCTAACATAGAGGACGAGCTTGGATATATAGAGCTGACTTCAATTTCGAAGATTAGCAAACACTTCACTTCTCAGTCAGCCAGTGAGCACCATCAGCTTTATACCATCGTAGAACGTTCTGTTGAAACTAAAGAGATCCATTGTACAAGAGCTAAAGGTAGATATTTGGAGTTGTCGACAGAAAAACGATTATATGATTTTTGATCAATTTTACAAAGTTTAAACGCTTTTAACTTTTCATTTAGCCACGACATCTCCTCGCTCGTAACGAATTGAAAGCGAAAAATTTTATATTTATTTCAATTACTCCACCTTGACGGAAGTCGTAGAAGTTCTTCATAAAACATTGGAGGCTCTAAAAGACGATTCTGAATTTGGTAATCTTGTGAGAAGATTTTAGGACAGGACGAATTCTTCGAGAGTGATATGGCAAAGATTTATGTTGAGTGAAAAAAGAGAAAGGTGATGGTAAATTACCGGGTCATTTGACCATTTTGAAATGTCCTTTAAATGACCTGGTCATTTAAGGTCATTTGTCAATTGACTTCAAATTACCTTCAATTGACTAGTCATTTGTCATTTTGTCATTTGAGGTCATGCAGAGACGGCATAAAGTATGGCGAACGAAAGTCTTGTCAAAATTATCTTGACTGTTTGAGAGAAACAGAAAGTCTCTCAGATAGTGTTGCTGTCCGAAACTAAAATTCCGTAGTTTAGAATTACCGAAACTAGTTTAGTTATGTGTCAAAACTAGTTTAGTTAATAGCCGAAACTACCGAAACTAGTTTTGTTTAACCGAAACTAATTTTTGGTAGTTTAGGATAGCATTCTTACTCTCAGATGAAGAAGACTAAGAACTTGAGGTTGAGGTAAAGGTTGGAATAGTTAATTAACCTGTTGAGACGATATCTATTTAACCGGTTAAAATATTTAATCTTAACTCCGGCCAAAATTTAGTTTTCGGGCAAAATTATACTTTTTTGTTATTACAAAATTTCGCTAGTTTGCCCAAATTTAGGATTTTTGAGTATGATGAACTACAAGAAGTAATCCTCATCAAAATTTCCTGTTAAAAACGAAAAGTGACAACACCTAATCTAAAATGCTGGCTGCACTATCTTGATATACATGTATGGTGCAATCTCAAGTAATTATTTAAAGGAGCTGTGGTAGTCTCGAAAATTTTTCGTCATCAAGTTGATTGATAGGATTCGATTCTCATTATTATTTTTTGTTCAGTATATCGCAGATAAGCGATAAACACTGGGAAAATGTCTTGTTTTCATTTTTTACTTGAAATGCGCTTTTCACTGAAAGTGATGAAAAAATGTTCGCTGAGGAATTAGCACTTAGAAACTTAATTGATAGTCTTGAAATAGTGAACCTAATACGATTGGTTTTATATCTTAAAGAATTTGCTGATTGTCAGACCCTTAAATTACTGGAGATGAAATGGGAATGTTTGCGAGACATTTTATGGTCAACAGAGCCAATACAATCAGTGTAAGTGTTGTAAGTGTGTATAGCTATCCTTACTTTCATCTTTTACTAATAATAGTTTTATCGTAGCATCGTGCAATGGCAAGACGGCACCTTTCTTAAGGAAATAAAGAACCGTGGATTGGCTCGTAGGTTCTATTTCGATACTTCATCAGCTCATTAAAATATGAGCTATATGCGTCAAATTATAAATCCAGGTTGATGAAGATTAATTAGAAAAAATTTCATCAAACAATAGTTGTTTGTGAAAGTCATAATTTTGATGACAAACCGGTTCTAAAGTCGGTTCTGGTTCTATTTTTCATATTTGTTTAAAGTAACTCAAGAGATTCAGAATTTAAAATCGAATTGACTCGAGTCGACTCAGTTTGTGCCAATACCATCCCTAACCAGTGGTATAAACACAGTTGACATCACGACTTCTTTATTCCAGTAAATATAAGAAATCATGTTTGTCTCCAAAATAAAAGCAATGTTTTGTGTAGAAAATTTTAACAAAGCTGAAGAATTCGAAAATGTTTGAGTTGAATGGTTGATTTGTTACTCAGCATGTCTTCGAAACAGCAACAATCGTGAGGATTTAGACGTATTACTCGAAGGTTTCTCGGTAATGTCTGCAAAGCAGAATCTAACAATGCCAGAAGAAGCAAAAAAGAATATTTGTGAGTTAGAATATTTTGGCATAAGGGAATTGGAAATTACTTCTAATTCTGCTGCTGTCACCAGCCTAATGTTCTCGTACTTGTCATGAGAATTTCACTTACGGGAAGAGAGATAGGAGTTGTTGTATGCAATGCAATAAGGTCATTCAAAGTAAGCTTTTGTTTCATTGTTTTTCAAAGAGTTGCTCGAGCTTTAACAATAGTTTCATTACTTACCAATTTATAGGTAAGTGTGAAAGCCAGTAAATTGGCATTTCATCAGATTAGATCTTTGGCAAGAAGTAAGAGAATTTTTGATGCTGATTCTTCTCCGATCATGTCAAAAAGAGTACTCGCATGATGCGTTACCTTACATGCTTTATTTGCTTCCAATCTTTAGTACAACATCAAATCAATGCAATGAAGTGCTATTAATCTTATAACTCCTAGCAAATATACATACCATACATCCTATATTTATTGATTAATTTTCACATTCGCCGTTATGGACTAAGTCCCTTTATATATTTCTCAACGAATGTTGCGTGCGACATAGAGTTTTGGAATGGAATGGTCTGCTGTGATCCCGGACGTTGACTGTGCATTTTGATAGTTGCCATATTCCTTTCCAGACTAATTCCTTTATATTTTCTCGACGAATTTTGCATATGGAAAACCGTCGTGGAATAACAAGATACGCATATAATCGGGTTGAATATCCCGAAGATCGATCGGAATAGTTGGAGTTCCCTATGAAGGACTCCTGAGCTTGAAGAAAACATAAATCGATTTGCTTTTATTTTCTCGCCATTCACAATAAAAGTGATGTCGTTCAATGATCTAATAGAAAATTAAATGCTCGAGTTCTATTAATACTTGACTGATCGTGTTGCTTGACCCGAATTTCAAAATTTGGTGGTTTTATTTCTTTGACACCAGCACTTTTGAGCATAATAGGATAACTGGCAAGTATTGCATTAACATGTTGCTCTTCACCATGCTCACGGTTTATATTAATTACGAACAATGTTTTATTTGATTCAATAAGGTGCGATGTCAACTAATTAAATTAAAGTTACAGTATATAAAGAATTATTTTTTTGTAATTTAGGATTGGTGTAACTAACTATAAATGATAAATATTAAACCAATCAAATTCGTTGTAAGTTTTATAACGGTTACCATTACCTATTAATATAATAAATTTATAAGGAAAAGAATAAGTTTATTAAATAAATTATAAGAAAATACAAGAAAATAAACTATTGCTGCCTTAGCCGGCGCTCTGTAATTGGCCCTTAGAGAAAAGAATGTTTCTATTTCTATCCTATTCACGAGATATTTCCTTAAAAATATTCAATTGAGGCTAAAAGACGAATAGAAAATTTAATGATCTCTGATGTCTAACGTGGTCATTTTGACATCTATTTTCCCTTAGTTCATTGAGTTCGAATAATGTCAGGATTGTAAGTGCATTTTTAACAATTTCGAACCTTTTTTTTTAAATGGAGGGCTAGTTTTAGAATGAGCTATTTTTCCATTAAAATATCTGAAATTTTTAAAATTCGTATTATTATATAAGTAATGAGAATTAGTGATAATTTTAAGAAATGAAACCTAAAAAAATCCAGTCAGGAAATTATTTAATACTTTCGAAGCGTTAATAGTTTTTTTTTTAAAAAAAAAAAAAGAAAAGCTAACAGTTATTTTGAATATTATTTTCGAAAATTGATAATTTCAAGAAGGATCCTGTTATTAAATGTAAAAATATAACTATTATTTCAATAAGAATCATAGAAAAATGTATACGATATCATAGATTTAATTAGTTTTCCAAGGTTGCGCCGTTGTTATCATCAATTATTTGTTAAGCAAAGAATCACATGTTGGTTTCTGACCCGTCCTATAGTGACGATGTATTTGAATGTGAAGCAAGTGATATACAGGTTATGGATATTTATTGCAAATGTGCCTTTGAATTATTTTTGGGAATTTAGTTTTAAAAAAAAGAAATTTATCCTTACAAACTTTGAACAACTACCAGTTTGGAGATCGAAATGTACCAAAGGGCCGGTCTTTAAATGAAAGAAATTAGTTAAATGAATTTTATTTCGTGTTCCGAAATAAATAATATCAAATTTCCTAAATTTTTAAAGACAAATCCTAAGAAAGATTTATAGACGATAATTTATTAATATGATTTATCACAATCAATACCTATGCGCGATGATTTATTAACTATAGTAAATCTAATACCAAGATTTATTTTATAAAAATAATTCTGTTGACTCAAAGCATAAATGAAAATGAAATAAAATCAAATAGACTACTAGTATAATTTTCGCCAACTCATTATGTCATGAATTGACGCTGTTTTTTGTATTGTGAATGTGAAAGTGTTTCAAACAAACAAGACAAGGTCATATTTGTCATTATGCCAGTGGAAAAGTATATTTTCAATAAATTATTATTATAAAAAAAATTTATGAGAATTCTGAACAAGTTTTTATGCTTATTGATCTCATTAATTCGTTATTATCTACTTGAAAATATAAATATTTTGTTATTGATACATTGATACTATTATATTTACTTTTATTGAAAATTAAATTTATAATTCTATAATCTTTATTAAGTTTGCTAATACAAAAACAAACAAATAACTGAACGTTTGCCTAAAAAAGGAAAGAGAACTTAAATTTTTTTAACTCAACTCATGTTATGATTCAACAATCAATACATGACGAATAGACATAATGTTTGATCTATTATTGTTAATGCTTCAATTTTTATGATTTATAGCTCATTAGATTTGTCTAATTGGAAATAATCATAAAATTCGGGGCAGGGCATTATTGTCCAAGCTACATTTGCATTTGATAGATATATCACGTGACCGCTATTTTTCAACTTCATGAAAAAAAAGGTCCATTACTTAATTGAAGATTTTAATGATATTACCCAATCTTTGAGATAAAATTATTGATTTCGATTCTTCACTTTAAGGATCGAGAATGTTCCTTGACAATACGATAATTGTTCTCAATTTTCTAAATGGAGGATCGATATCGATCCTTTATTCATTGAAGAATCGATAAGAACTTCACATTTAGGGTGACCTTTTATTTCAAGGATTTTATTCGAACATTTTATTTAAATGGAGTTGATAATTTAATACATCAGGTGCTATTTATTTGTAACTAAGGCTTCTTTTCAGAAGATACTTGAAATTTATATTATATTTAATTTATTAAAACAAATTAATTAAATTAATTAAATTACATTATTATCTATTATTAAGTCTAAAAACAAAATTTTAATCTATCTATGACCTTCAGTTCCGTTAACTCCTTAGCACCGTCAACGCCATTAACTCCCTTAACATCGTCAACACTCCATAATCGTAATCTTTGTCATAATTGAATTTAGGATCAGTTGATAAATCGTAATTTTCGAATTCTTTATCATCGTCGTTTTTAACGCTTTGCCCTTCGGCTTTTTTATCACAATCTTTTATAGTAACTCCACCAAAATAGGGACCCGTATGAGAATTAAGTTTTAATGAGAACAAAGATACCGATGCAGAACCATTTGGATCTTCAGTAGTCTCAAATTCAATAAAGCTATTGGATCCTCATCAGGTTTATCTATAAATAATTCATTACCAAAATGTTCAAATTCACCATTATTTAGAATTGGAAATCTTGGAGACAAACGAGGAACTGGATCACCTTTAACTATAGATCTTTTTGTAATTAGGTTATCTCCAGCATATTTAGCAAATAATTTATCACCAACTTTTGGTTGACCAAGTATAGAAAGAAATAATTGATCATTTTTATTAGCTAATGCTTGAACTTTTTGTAAAAAATCTAATGCCGAAAATGTAGCAATTGCTATGATAAATAAAAAAAAAAAAAAATTGTTAAAGAATTGTAATTAAATATGTAAACTTTTTTTTTAATTTATTGAGCTTACCACAGCCTAAACTGTGACCCATAAATCCGATCTTGAAATCGGGATTTTCTTATATCATCGGTAACTTGTGGTTGAACTGCGAAAAAAGCATCATAAAATCCACGGTGTACCTGAGAACCACATATAACATAATCTTTCTTGAAAAAGTTTATGTCAGTAATGATATTTTTAAAATCAAATGGTACCGTTCCTCTATATGATACGATGATGTATAAGCATATAATTTAATTGATTTCGCTAATTTCTGATATTTAATAATAAATCAAGAAAATTTAACATTCAATCATAAAATAATAACATTTCTGCACAATTTTTTCAGGTATCATAACTAACCTCTCAATGCTTTCTGCAATTCATTCAGTTGAAATACTTGTATTCCGTCTTCTTCAGCACCAGCGTTACTATAATTCCTCATCATAATGTAGTTGGCAAAATACTTAAGTGATTTCTGCTATTATCATATACATCTTTCTCTGCACCTTGATTATTATCAAGCCATACAATTGATTCTTGAATATTATCATCAAGTCTTTTCTTATCTGCTAGGTCTAATTTGCCGGTAACTTTCTCGTCCTATGATTAATATAATTAATATAATTTGAATTGAGATTTAAAAATATGTTAATAACAATGTTAAATAAACTAACCTGAAATATATTATGCATAACTATCCAATCGATTTCATTCTTGTATTGATTGTGCAACTTTCTCATCATTTTCACGAAATCTCTTGGCTTCAGCAACTTTTACTATATCATAAATTTTTTTTAGTTAATAATATTTTGTTGCATTAAAAAACATAGTTACAAAATTTTTTAATCGGTTACATACCCATACGTTCGATTTCTTGACAATCGAAAAGTTTCTTCTGTAATGGCTTTATTAGATTTTCCAGTTGTTATATCAACAGCGTATACCTATAATGAAATAAAGTTAACATGCATCTATAAATGTAAATAATGATAATAGTTCAATGCATAAAACATACGTTTAAGATACCATTTTGATTAATATCAAAGGTGACTTTGATTTGTGAAACACTACTTGGTGCTGGTGGAATTCCAATCAATTCAAATTTACCAAGCAAGTTGTTATCTTCAGAATGCGCTTTCATAAACCTTGATTAATACTCCTGGTTGATTATCATCATATTTGAAGAAAATTTCAGATTTAATAGTAGGGACTGTAGTATTACGCTTAATAAGCGTTTTCATGACACCACCGGCGGTTTCA